AAAAATGGGAAAATCAACAGGAAAATCCCAGGGAAATCCCAGGGAAAATAACAGGGAAAATCACAGGGAGAAATCATAGGGAAAATCGGTGGGAAAAACAGGAAAATCACAGGGAAAATGGGGAAAAATTGGGGAAATCACAGGGAAAAAAATGGGAAAATCAATGGGAGAAAAGGGAAAACCACAGGGAAAATCACAGGGAATACAGGGAAAAATGGGAACTTCCTGGAAAACCCTCCTAGGCCAGAAGGAAGAGGCAATTCCAGCCCTAAATAATCCTGGGAGGGATCAACCCCAAACCCCACAACCCACAGGGAACGAGACCCCAAATCCAGGACAGGGGAATGAACATTCCAAAGGCTCCCAGGGAATTCCCAAACCTCAGAAACACCCTGGAAAACCCTGAAAAAAACCTGGAAAAACCTGAAAAAACCTGGAAAAACCTGGAAAACTCTACTGAACCAAAAGGAAGAAGAGGCAATTCCAGCCCTAAATAACCCCAAGAGAGATCAACCCCAAACCCCACAGCCCTCAGGGAACGAGACCCCAAATCCAGAGTCCAATTCCAAGGGCATTCCCAGACCTCAGGAACACCCCAGAAAAATCTGAAAAATAACTGAAAAAAACCTGAAAAAACCCAGAAAAAAATCTGAAAAAACCCAAAAAAAAACCTGAAAAAAAACCTGGAAAAACCTGGGTGGTGAAGGAAGAAGAGGCACCTCCAGCCCGGTGGGGGGATCACCCCAAACCCCACAACCCACAGGGAACGAGACCCCAAATCCAGGGTCCAATTCCACAGGCTCCAAGGGAATTCCCAAACCTTAGGAACATCCCGGAAAAACCTGGAAACCCCTGGAAAAACCTGAAAAAACCTGAAAAAAACCCTGGAAAACTCTCCTGAACCAGGACGAAGAAGAGGCAATTCCAGCCCTAAATAACCCCAAGGGGGATCAACCCCAAACCCCACAACCCTCAGGGAACGAGACCCCAAATCCAGGGTCCAATTCCAAGGGAATTCCCAAACCTCAGGAACACCCCAGAAAAATCTGAAAAATAACTGAAAAAAACCTGAAAAAAACCCAGAAAAAAATCTGA